TTATTATTATTATTAATAATAATAATAATAAAGTGAACAATAACACATTTATAGATGAGATAGTTGTAAAATTGTAACAATATGATATGCACACGCAGGACACTAAATTGGAATTCTGTCTACTTTTTATACTTTTCTCTCGCTCCCTCTTTTCCCCTCCCCCCTCTTCTTTATATAAACGAATAAAATTATTTTTTTTTAAAAGACCGACAAAGCTTCATTCAAGGCGTGAGCTTTTGTGTGCAGGCACACCTCCTCAGACACAGTCACTGTGACTGAGGAAGTGTGTGTGTGTACCTGAAAGCTGATACCCTGAATAGAACTTTGTTGGCCTTAAAGGTGCCACTGGACTCAGACTTTGTTTTATCACTTTTCATGATTCGCGCTCTGCTCACGGCAACTTGCACTGTCTCCCTTGCCCTGTGGCAAGCTTCTGGGAGGCAGCTTGACCGCACTGTAGTATGAATGGGAATATAAAGATTTTTATAGGTTTTATAGGTTTTTTCCTTCTTGATTGTTCATATTTCTCTGGTTATTATAGATTTATTCTTTAAGTAATATTTTATTAGGATGGCCTGTTATATAGAAGGCTTCCCTCTTGTAGGTCTGATAGTGTTAGCAGACAACATAATAGGTACAAAGTTCATGATTCTGTAGTTCTTAGGGCAAACCTTTCAATGTCTGGGTCAGAGAAGATTTTAGTCTCGTATCAGTAATGAATACTTTTGTTTGGGATATGAAGATTCCTTGCCCATTATCATTTAGGTTAGGTTAAGTAAACACTTAGTTTGACATAGATATATGTTTCTTTATATCTGGCCAATCAGAGGATTATTACTCAAATTACCACTGTCTTTTGTAACCAGTTATGCTGTTTGAATATTGTTTTCTTGATGATGTCAGTCCATGTATAAAATATCATGTATTTCCTGAATATGTTCAGAATATGTTCAGGAAGAAGATGAAGAAGAAAAAGAAGAAAGTTGTCAATTTTTGGTTAACTATTTGGTCTAATTGTTTTCCTATTAATTGAGGCATTTTTCCCGAATATGCTGAGAAGAAAGCAGTCAGTTTTGATGGGTCCTTTGGCCTAACTGTTTCCCGTATTTCATCGCAATAACATACAAGAACTTCCTCCTCATTTTGACCTCAATGTTCTATTTTTGACTGCATATTAATTTGTACAACAGCAGGGAGCCCACCCTCCCTGGGGGCTTGGCGACACGGAGCCCTGCTCGCAAGGATCCCCCACTCCTCCACTTGCACCCGGCTGGATGACCTTGGGCTGGACAAACAAGCTCCCTAGTGCCGCAGAGAGGGGCCGACTCGCAGAGCATACCTGTGCTCCATGTAACAGCTCGACGGTTCCACGCAAGTGGAGACGGCGCCAATGACGAAAGAGGCCCTGACTTCGGCGTCTGGGTGAGTCTGCAGGGCCTGCACAACGTCAATCACATCTGTGTATCTGCGGAGAGAACAAAGGCGACGACCTGTGAAGTGACGGGGCCAGATGGGAACTATGCCACCGCCGGGGGTTCTGGGGCCGGGGAGACACGATAAGGTGCGATTCCAGGAACTGTGGCCCGGTTCCCCGGGGCGAAACACTTTTGGCATCGTGACAGCAACCGACGCAAGGTTTTCAGATCATAAGAACGTAGGCAGACACGCTGGATCAAACCAAAGGCCCGTCGAGGTCGGCGTTCTGTTCACACAGTGGCCAACCAGAGGCCTGTAAGAAGCTCAGAAGCAGGACGACTGCAACAGCATCCTCCCGCCCGTGCTCTCCAGAGCAACCGATACCAAGAGGCAGACTGCCTGTGGTACTGGGTGGACAAGGAATCCATCATGACTCGCAACCAAGGGTCCCTCTAAGCTGTGGAGTCTTGTGAGCAAAAATACCACTTTGTGAGCTACTGGCATTAGAGTTGTGAGCGAGCTGTTTGGCTACTGCATAAATGAGTTTGCTCTGGAGCCCTCCTTCCTGAGCGAAGGCAAAAAAACTGTGAGCCGGAGGCTAAAAAAAACTGTGAGCTGGCTCGCACTAACTCCGCTTAGAGGGAACACTAACCTCTGATAGGCCCGTCCTCTATGAAATTTGTCCACAACCTCTTTAGAGCCTCCTAAGTTTGTGACCATCACGACGTTCTGTGGCAGCGGGTTCCACAAATTAACTATGTGCTGGAAGGAGGAGGAGGAGGAGGAGGAGGAGGAGATTGGATTTAGACCCCGCCCTTCACTCAGAGCGGCTTACAGTCTCCTTTCCCTTCCCATCCCCACAACTGACACCCGGTGAGGTAGGCAGGGCTGAGAGAGCTCTTGACAGAAACTGCTCTTTCAAGGACAGCTCTGAGAGAACTTATGACGGAACCAAGGTCACGCCACCAGCTGCATGTGGAGGAGTGGGGGGATCAGGTCTGGTTCTCCCAGATTAGAGTCCACGCACTTAACCACTACACCAAACTGCTGCCTTTTGTCTGCCCTGAATCTCCCACCTCTTCAGCTTCAGGGGATGACCCCGGGTTCTAGTATTATGGGATTAAATATTATTTAACTGCTGTACACTGCCCTGAGCCCATTGGGGAGGGCGATAGATAAATCTGATAAAATAAATAAATAAATAAATAAACGCATGCATGCAGGGGGAGGCAGGGAATGGAACGTGCCAGAAGAATGGCAATCGTAAGAACGTAAGAACATAAGAGACGCCAATGTTGGATCCGGCCAAAGGCCCATCCAGTCCAACACCCTGTGTCACACAGTGGCCAGAAATACCAGGAGCCATCAGGAGGTCCAGCAGTGGGGCCACGACACTAGGAGCCCTCCCACTGTCCCCCCCCCAAGCACCAAGAATACAGAGCATCCCTTGCCCCAGACACAAGAACATAAGAGAAGCCCATGTTGGATCAGGCCAATGGCCCATCCAGTCCAACACTCTGTGTCACACTTTTTTTTTAAAAAAAGTGATACATCAGGACCAAGCTGGTTTCCTCCCAAAGAGGCAGATGAAAAATAACATAAGACCCTATCTATACCTTGTGTCTTAAATAACATAAGAACAGTTATTAATATAATCGAATACTATGAACAACATCCAGAGAAACAAATGGCACTGATATTTTTGGATGCGGAGAAAGCATTCGATAATGTTTCTTGGGACTTTCTAAAACTAAAACTGATGGCTTGGGAATGTGGGAAGGACTTTATAGTAAACAACATGCAAATATAGTGGTAAACTCGGAACTAACAAATAAAATAGAGATTCAAAAAGGCACTAGACAGGGTTGCCCACTGTCGCCGTTACTCTTCATATTTATATTAGAGTCCTTAAATGACAATATAAGACAAAATCAACTAATAAAAGGCTTGAAAATCAGAGATGAAGAATACAAGCTCCAAGCCTTTGCTGACGATTTAGTTTTTATTATAGAAAACCCGTCAACTACTGCTGCAAATCTGCTGAAGGAAATAGAAGCATACGGAGGGGTGGCAGGTCTTAAAATAAACTATAAAAAAACGAAAATGCTGACTAAAAATTGTCCACAAAAGGTGGAATTAGAATTACAAGAGCTGACGAAACTGCAAATAGTAAAAAAGGTGAAATATTTAGGTATTATGCTAACAAACAGAAACAGTATGTTGATAGAGAACAATTATATTAAATTAAGGGAGGAAGTTAAAAAGGATCTCGATAAATGGAAAGACTTACAGCTGTCCATGATGGGAAGAATTGCAACGATTAAGATGAATATCCTTCCCCGCTTCTTATTTTTGGCACAAAATATACCAGTATTAAAAGCGAAACAATATTTTTTAGACCTAGACAAAATAACAAGATCCTTTATCTGGCATCCTAAAAGAGCACGAATTAAACTAAAGATATTACAAGATAAAAAAGAGAGGGGTGGCACGGGCCTTCCAAATTGGCAACTGTACTTTCAAGCCGCAGCCAGGGTATGGGTCAAGGACTGGGTCCATTTGACCAACTGGAGAACACTCTATTTGGAAGGCCACGACCTATATATGGGGTGGCATGCGTACCTGTGGTACGGGAAAGATAAAATACACTCAAACTTTCACAACCATATTATTAGAGCGGCGCTAATTAAAATATGGGATGAAATGAAATATAGATATTACTCAAAGACCCCAAGATGGATCTCCCCCCTCGAAGCTTTTATAAATAACAAATTAATGACAAAGGAAAAGGCAATATCCTACGATGTCTTATTAGATGAAAACAATAAATTAAGACCTTTTGAAAGATTAGAGGGACAAAATATTTATCTAACATGGTGGGAAAAAGCACAATTGCAAGATAGATATAATAAAGATAAAACCAATGAATTTACAATCGGAAAAACGGATTTGGACAAGATATGGCTATCCTCCAACGACAAACTTATACAAAAACTTTATAACCTCCTCCTAGATGAATTTCAGCTAGACGAGAATATAAAAGAACCCATGATCCTTTGGATGAGAGATTTGGGAAAGACCATACAAATGGAGGAATGGGAAAAGGTTTGGAAATCTATGAAGCTAATGAGGGCGGTAGCATTTAAGGAAAATATATTTAAAATGTTCCATAGATGGTATTGGACGCCAGAAAAATTAGCAAAAGCATATAAAACAGCAAACAAAAATTGTTGGAGATGTAAAAATAATGTAGGAACTTTTATTCACATGTGGTGGAACTGTGAAAAAATATTTAACTTTTGGAAATGTGTAAAAAGTTTAATTAGTGAAATGCTGCACATAGATTTAAAGTTATGTCCGGAGACTTATTTGTTAAATGTAATCCCAAACGAACATAAAAAGGAAAATGTTTATGTATTAACATATATGCTCACAGCAGCTAGGATCTTGATCGCCAAGAACTGGAAACAAGAAAAGATTCCAAAAAGAAAGGAACTAATAGAGAAAATTATAGAGGTCGCGGAAATGGACAAATTAACTGTAATTCTACAAAAGAAAGATGACATGGTGTTTAAAGAACGGTGGGCAGATTTTTACAAATGGTTAAAAGATAAACCTTTGGGATAGACTCGAGATGATATATGTAATACAAATGTAAAAGATGTATATCGTTTTATTTTGAACTAAAAAACTTAAATAAACTGTTAAAAAAACAACAACAACAACACTCTGTGTCACACAGTGGCCAAAAATACCAGGAGCCATCAGGAGGTCAAGCAGTGGGGCCAGGACACTAGGAGGCCTCCCACTGCCCCCCCCCCAAGCACCAAGAATACAGAGCATCCCTTGCCGCAGACACAAGAACATAAGAGAAGCCCATGTTGGATCAGGCCAATGGCCCATCCAGTCCAACATTCGGTCACACAGGTGCCATCAGGAGGCCCACCAGTGGGGCCAGAACTCCAGAAGCCCTCCCACTGCCCCCCCCAAGCACCAAGAATACAGAGAAGCCATGTTGGATCAAGCCAATGACCCATCCAGTCCAAAACGCTGTGTCACACAGTGGCCAAATATACCAGGGGCCATCAGGAGGTCCACCAGTGGGGCCAGGACATTAGAAGCCCTCCCACTGTTGGCCCCCCCAAGCACCAAGAAGACAGAGCATCACTTGCCCCAGAGCCCCTATCTATACCTTGTGGCTAATAGCCACTGATGGACCTCTGCTCCATATGCCTATCTAATTCCCTTTTGAAGCCATCCATGCTTGTAGCCGCCACCACTTCCTGTGGCAGTGAATTCCATGTGTCTTTACGCTTGGGAGAAACCCGTGTGGCGGTGGATACCTTCAAGCAAAGCAGGGAAGTGAAACTTATCTACAGGGATGGTTTGATGGAGCCATGCCATTTGTCCTGTGGCAGTGAATTCCATGTGTCTTTACGCTTGGGAGAAACCCGTGTGGCGGTGGATACCTTCAAGCAAAGCAGGGAAGTGAAACTTATCTACAGGGATGGTTTGATGGAGCCATGCCATTTGCCTGGCCTAGAAAAGGAGGAGGCTGGGGCTTCACTGGGCAGGGGGCCTCCACTGAATATTTATCTTGTACCAAAGAGCATGCGAAGGGCTGCTAGAAAGCACCCCAAAAAGACAGAGTATGATGCATACAAATAGGGAGGGCAGGAAGGGCTGCACCAGTGCTCAGTTCTCCTCGTGGCCCTTTCTGACACGCCCCGGGAAAGGCTGATCGCCACTTTGGGGCCAGGAAGCCAATTTTCTCCAGGTCAGTTTGGCCAGGGATCCGGGAGGGTTTTTTTTTTTGTCATCTTCTGTGCATGGAACAGGGGTCACTGGGGGTGTGGCGGGGGAGGCATTTGTGAATTTCCTGCCTTGTGTGGGGGGTTGGACTAGATGACCCTCCAGGTCCCTTCCAACTCCATTATGCTATGATTCTAGGGCTTAAAATCTAGAACTGGCAGGCAAGACAAAGAGGAGGTCAGACGACTGACATGAAGACTGGTAGAAGCAAGTCTGATGGGGAAGAAGAAAAAGAAGAAGAGGAGGAGGAGGAGGAGGAGGAGGAGATTGGATTTAAACCCCGCCCTTCACTTGGAGTCTCAGAGCGGCTCACAGACTCTTTACACAACAGACACCCTGTGAGGTAGGCAGGGCTGAGAGAACTCTGAGAGAAAGTGCTCTTTTTCAAGAACAGCTCTTATCAGAACTACGGCTTGCCCAAGGTCATCCAGCCAGGTGCAAGTGGAGGAGTGGGGGAATCAAACCCTGTTCAGCACTCAGAGCGGCTCACAGACGCTTTCCCCTCCCCACAACAGACACCCTGTGAGGTAGGCAGGGCTGAGAGAACTCTGAGAGAAAGTGCTCTTTTTCAAGAACAGCTCTTATCAGAACTACGGCTTGCCCAAGGTCATCCAGCCAGGTGCAAGTGGAGGAGTGGGGGAATCAAACCCGGTTCTCCCAGATTAGAGTCCGTGCACTTAACCACCGCACCACACTGGTTCTCAGTAAGCAAAGAGGCAAAGGCGACACATGGCCATGCTGTCGGTCCGTCTGGTTCAGCACTCTGCCTGGCCGGGGCTTTTCCCTCCCAGGCCAGGAAAGGTCTTGGCGTGCACCTTGTATTTAAGGCCCTTTTATCGAGACATGTTGGGGGACCAAAACTGGTGGTTTCTACACACAAAGCCCGTGCTCCGCCACTGTGCTATCGGCCTCTCTTGCTTCGCTGGACAGAGAAGGGGAGGGGGCCTTGGCCACGGAAGAGCCTCTGCTCTGCATGCTGGAGGTCCCGGGTTCGATTCCCGGCACCTCCAGCTAGAAGGACCAGGCACTAGGTGGTGTGAAAGACCTCCGCCTGAGACCCTGGAGAGCAGCTGCCAGTCTGTGTGGACAATGATGACTGTGAGGGAGCCAGGGACTGAGTCAATGGAAGGCAGCTTCATAACTACACATACACGCATGTATGCATGTATGCATTCATGTATGAATGGCCATTTGAGGCAGCCAGGGAGGGGGAGAAGGAGGAGAAGAGCTGGTTTGGTGTAGTGGTTAGGAGTCGGGACTCTAATCTGGGAGAACCGGGTTTGATTCCCCACTCCTCCACATGCAGCTGCTGGTGTGACCTTGGGTCGGTCACAAAGTTCTCTCAGAGCTGTTCTCTCAAGGGCAGTTCTTGAAAAGAGCTCTCTCAGCCCCACCTAACCTCCCAGGGTGTCTGTTGTGGGGCGGGGAATGGAAGGGAGATTGTCAGCCGCTCTGAGACTCCTTTGGGTAGTGAAGGGCCATGGGGGAGTTCATCTCTTTTTATACCCCACCCTTCACTACCTGAAGGAGTCTCGGAGCAGCTTACAATCTCCTTCCTTTCCACTACCCACAACAGACAGAAGGTGAGCATGGGGCCTCTACTGGGGCTGAGAAAGCTTTACTGGGGCTGAGGGAGCTCTGAGAGGACTGCCCTTGAGGGAACATCTCTGAGAGAACTGGTGACTGTTCCAAGGTCACCCAGGTGGCTGCATGTAGAGGAGTGGGGGAATCAAACCCGGTTCTCCCAGATTAGAGTCCGCTGCTCTTTAACCACAACACCACAGCTGGCAGTAGTGCAAGGGATCACAACTGGCCCTGCACGCCAAGCAAAAAGCTCTGGCATGCCACCTTTGGGCACAGAGGCAGTGCCTTCGCTGTTTGTCAAACTGGGAGGCAATGGTTTTCAATTCCGGCCTGAAATGGCCGTATGCCATCTCCAGCTGGGAAGGGAGGGACGGGGAGGGGAGGATGAAGGTTTTTTTAAACAGAGGCTACGACCTTGCTTGTCAGAAGGACAAAAGGTTACGTGCCGTGGGTCTACCTGTGTTCGTTTCAATCACAAAATGTCAAAAGGGACATTTTCGGCCTCCAGAGAGATTTCCCGCCATCCTTCGGAGGATTTTGAAAAGGCTTGTTCTGCCTTGAACAATCGGGACGTGGGACTCGGCTCCTCGGGCTTTTAAGTGGAAATGCATCTAGGTGTTCTTTAAGATGCCCGGATTTGGTCTGTGATGCCGCTGGACAGAACAGCCATTCCCTGAGAAAAGGTTTTATGGTGCGTCAGCCAAAGGACAGAGCTCACCCGAGCTGCTTCCACAGTGTGTTACCCCTTCAAATAAAAGGCAGTGGATGTGAAATATGGGAGGAAAGTACATTCTTAGGCTTGGAAGACGCAGCCCGAGAGCATTTTACTGGGTATCTTGGGACCATTTGAAACATACTTGTCTTTACTACCTCCCGTATTAAAAGCCTGAGATTTATTATACTGGACACGGATATTACACTCACGCAACTTAAACCTTAAAAAAAAAGAGGCTCTCTCGACAGACATCTGTTCAGTTGTTCGGGTCCATTTTGTGGAGTACGTGTGCTGGCCAATGCTTCCTCTAAGCCTTGGAGTCTTGTGAGCAAAAAGTCTGCTTTTGTGAGCTACTGGCATTAAAGTTGCGAGCGAGCCATTTAGCGACTGCCTAAATTAGATTGCTCTACAACCATCCTTCCTGAGCTAAGACAAAAAAAAATGTGTGAGCTGGAGGCTAAAAAACTGTGAGCTAGCTCACACTTACTCCGCTTAGAGGGAACACTGGTGCTGGCAGAGAAAGACCAAAGCATCTAACCATTTTAAAGGGCCCCCCCTTATGACATGGGTGAGGGCTGAGTTATTTTATTTTGGTAATTCCTATCCGGATTTTCTGTACAAGAACACCCAGACAGGGCTGATAAAATATTGGCTAATTTCACACGAATACACACACCCCACCCACACCTTTAACATACTGCATATAAATCTGCATTTGGGGCCAAAACCATCATGCACAAGTGACACTCAGAGTTGTTCTCTCAAGAGGCAGTTTGGTGTAGTGGTTAAGAGCGCAGGACTCTAATCTGGGAGAACCGGGTTTGATTCCCCACTCCTCCACATGCAGCTGCTGGTGTGACCTTGGGCCAGTCACAACTTTTCTCAGAGTTGTTCTCTCAAGAGGCAGTTTGGTGTAGTGGTTAAGAGCGCAGGACTCTAATCTGGGAGAACCGGGTTTGATTCCCCACTCCTCCACATGCAGCTGCTGGTGTGACCATGGGTCAGTCACAAGTTCTCTCAGAGCTGTTCTCTCAAGGGCAGTCCTCGGAAGGGCTCTCTCAGCCCCGCCTACCTCACAGGGTGTCTGTTGTGGGGGGGGGAAGGGAAAGGAGATTGTAAGCCGCTCTGAGACTCCGAGTAGAAGGGCCAGGGGTATAAATCCAGTCTCTTCTTCTTCTTCTTCTTCTTCTTCAGAATTCTGGGTTAGATCCAATGGATGCATTTCACGATCCATGGATTTTATCCTCTAGAAGCTCTTGCACTGGGAGAAAACTCCTTGTGCCAGAGGAAAGTGACGTCGTTAACAAAAACCAATCCACGCGATCCAAATTTCTGTAAGAGCTCAGTGGGCTTCAGCAGTTGGGCTTCCCCTTCTCAGCCTCCCCCCTCTACTGCCAGCACTGATTCAGAAGATGGGACAGTGGAAACAAAAAACAGAAGTTTATTTCAGTGGTATTATTATTGCTCAAATAAGCATTTGATGACTGTGAGGTGACATGATCAAGATTTATACGATGATGCCTGGGATAGAGCAGGTAGAGAAAGAGGTACTTTTCTCCCTTTCTCATCATACGAGAACTCGTGGGCACTCCATGAAGTTGCTGAGCGGTTGGGTTAGAACGGATAAAAGGAAGTCCTTCTTCACCCAAAGAGTGATTCACACATGGAATTCACAGCCACGGGAGGGGGTGGCGGCTACAAGCATGGACGGCTTCAAAAGGGAATTGGATAAGCATATGGAGCAGAGGTCCACCAGTGGCTATTAGCCACAAGGTATAGATTGGGGCAAGGGATGCTCTGTCTTCTTGGTGCTTGGGGGGCAGCAGTGGGAGGGCTTCTAGTGTTTTGGCCCCACTGCTGGACCTCCTGATGGCACCTGGTATTTCTGGCCACTGTGTGACACAGAGTGTTGGACTGGATGGGCCTTTGGCCTGATCCAACATTGGCGTCTCTGTTATGTTCTCTTATGTACTCATCTGTCAAGCTCATCTTGGGCGTTCATCAGCAAGTGTGGAGATTTTTAAAAATTTACCTCATGGTTCCCCCCCCCCCAATTTTTTTCTCTCCAAACCTGGAAATTCTCCCCCTACCCAGCTTTGCAGAAATATTTCTCCTCTCTGCACACGGCCCCACTGTTTAGATTTTTCAATCTGCATTGCACAGTGTTAGATATATTAATGATGAGCACGACGTTCCACGCACAGCCTGGAGAAGCTTCCTTACCCTTGCAGAACCACCAGCAACCTTGGCTTCTTCCTGCTGTAAGCGGAGAGGCGAGTGCTTCGGCTGTGCTGAGATTCTACGACGCTCGTCAGGTACTTCTGGAAGTGGGCGGCGCTGAAACACTCGGGGCTATCCATGGTTTGGCGATAGACCAGCCACCTAAAATACGACGCGGACAGAATAAAGCCCGGCTGTTTCTGCCTCTCTTTCTATCAGTGCAGCTTACTGCATTTCCCCTCCGCTGTTTCTACAAATCGTGAGCATCAGAGGGAAAAAATCACCCTAGGAGCAGACCTTCCGTTTTACTTCATGCTGAAATCGAAGCACCGACAGTCTGGTGATCCCAGCGAGGCTGTCGTGAGAACTGGCCTCAAGGCAGCGGCCTGGAAGGGCGGCACATTTCTTTAGAGGCCAGAGGTTGACTGGCTCTTTAACTGGCAAGGAAACGGCCATGGAGGGCACTGGACACCAGCAGCAAGCCAGCCTCAGCCCCAGTGATGTTGCCAGAACTGCCAGGACTAAGAACATCGGAAGGGCCCTGCTGGATCAGGCCAGTGGCCCAGCTAGTCCAGCATCCTGCCTCACAGAGTGGCCAACCTGCTCCTCTGGAGGGCCAACAACAGGGCAGAGAGGCCGCGGCCTTCCCCTGATAAGAACCTCAGCAGAGCCCTGCTGGATCAGACCAGTGAGGGTCCATCTAGTCCAGCTTCCCGTCTCACACAGGGGCCAGCCAGGTCCTCTGGAGGGCCAACAACAGGGCAGAGAGGCCGCGGCCTTCCCCTGATAAGAACCTCAGCAGAGCCCTGCTGGATCAGACCAGTGAGGGTCCATCTAGTCCAGCTTCCCGTCTCACACAGGGGCCAGCCAGGTCCTCTGGAGGGCCAACAACAGGGCAGAGAGGCCGCGGCCTTCCCCTGATAAGAACCTCAGCAGAGCCCTGCTGGATCAGACCAGTGAGGGTCCATCTAGTCCAGCTTCCCGTCTCACACAGGGGCCAGCCAGGTCCTCTGGAGGGCCAACAACAGGGCAGAGAGGCCGCGGCCTTCCCCTGATAAGAACCTCAGCAGAGCCCTGCTGGATCAGACCAGTGAGGGTCCATCTAGTCCAGCTTCCCGTCTCACACAGGGGCCAGCCAGGTCCTCTGGAGGGCCAACAACAGGGCAGAGAGGCCGCGGCCTTCCCCTGATAAGAACCTCAGCAGAGCCCTGCTGGATCAGACCAGTGAGGGTCCATCTAGTCCAGCTTCCCGTCTCACACAGGGGCCAGCCAGGTCCTCTGGAGGGCCAACAACAGGGCAGAGAGGCCGCGGCCTTCCCCTGATAAGAACCTCAGCAGAGCCCTGCTGGATCAGACCAGTGAGGGTCCATCTAGTCCAGCTTCCCGTCTCACACAGGGGCCAGCCAGGTCCTCTGGAGGGCCAACAACAGGGCAGAGAGGCCGCGGCCTTCCCCTGATAAGAACCTCAGCAGAGCCCTGCTGGATCAGACCAGTGAGGGTCCATCTAGTCCAGCTTCCCGTCTCACACAGGGGCCAGCCAGGTCCTCTGGAGGGCCAACAACAGGGCAGAGAGGCCGCGGCCTTCCCCTGATAAGAACCTCAGCAGAGCCCTGCTGGATCAGACCAGTGAGGGTCCATCTAGTCCAGCTTCCCGTCTCACACAGGGGCCAGCCAGGTCCTCTGGAGGGCCAACAACAGGGCAGAGAGGCCGCGGCCTTCCCCTGATAAGAACCTCAGCAGAGCCCTGCTGGATCAGACCAGTGAGGGTCCATCTAGTCCAGCATGCTGTCTCACACAGGGGCCAACCAGTTCCTCTGGAGGTCCAATGACACGGCTTGGTGCTGACGACAGGTTGTGGCAGGCTTGCTCATGGTTCCCCTGAGCTCTGCCGGCAGCTGGGTCCAAGGGGAGTGGCCAAGGCCCCTCAGTTAGAACTCAACTAACAGAAACCCGGTAAAAGGCAGCAAAGCACACCTGTGCCTGTCGCCACCAACGGGATCTGAGCCAAGAAGCCCCTCTTAGGGTCGTTTCGCTCACTTCTGAGACACCTTAAGTGGCCCCGTCAGCCCCTCCTGGAGACATGTTGTGCCACTGTGAGTTTTACTACGGCTGTCTCGGGGCACCAAGTGTGACACTGCTGCAAAAAAAACCCCAAAACAAGACGGACGTAAAGCTCTACCGACCTTCCGTATTCTTTGTTAAAGGTGACCAGGAAAGTACAAAGGTCACTCGAGCGACATCCAGGAAGGCCTGTTAAGATGGTGATCACCACCTGCAATGGGAAGGAAGAGTCTAGTTCGGTCACCGGTATTGCTGACCAGCAATCAGGCAGAAATCTGGATAAAAAGAAGCTTGAACACATGAAGCTGCCAGATACTGAATTGAGACCATTGGTACGTAGAGGTCACTACTGTCTACTCAAGAGTGTCAGCAGCTCTCCAGGGTCTCAGGCAGGGAGGTCTTTCCCATCACCTCCTGCCTGGTCCTTTTGACTGGAGATGCCGGAGATTGAACCTGGGACCTTCTGCATGCCAAGCAGAGGCTCTTCTACTGAGCCACAGCCCCTCTTTACAGCTCTCCAGGGTCTCAGGCAGAGAGGTCTTTCCCATCACCTCCTGCCTGGTCCTTTTTAACAGGAAATGCCGGGGATTGAACCTGGGACCTTCTGCATGCCAAGCAGATGCTTTGCCACTGAGCCACAGCCCATCTTTACAGCTCTCCAGGGTCTCAGGCAGAGGTCTTTCCCGTCACCTCCTGCCTGGTCCTTTTGAACTGGAGATGCCTGGGACCTTCTGCATGCCAAGCAGAGGCTCTGCCACTGAGCCACGGCCCCTCTTTACAGCTCTCCAGGGTCTCAGGCAGAGGTCTTTCCCATCACCTCCTGCCTGGTCCTTTTGAACTGGAGATGCCGGGGATTGAACCATGGACCTTCTGCATGCCAAGCAGAGGCTCTACCACTGAGCCACAGCCCCTCTTTACAGCTCTCCAGGGTCTCAGGCGGAGGTCTTTCCCATCACCTCCTGCCTGGTCCTTTTAACTGGAGGTGCCAGGGGATTAACCTGGGACCTTCTGCATGACAAGCAGAGGCTCTTCCATTGAATGAGAAAGGGTCCACTGGAAGGCAGAAGTTTGCAAAACTACTACGCTTGCTTAAAGCAAATTATTAAAGTCTCAGCTCCTTCAATGCTGTGTGTCCGCCCCCCCCTCGCATAACCACAGCATCCCAAGCTTGATGCTGTTCCTGCAAAAATATGCACGCTTAACTGAACCTTTTAAAAAATTGCATAATCGACCCCAAGGTCTTTGTTGATGCAGAAAAAAAAACCCCAGCCTCTCAAACGCTCCCCGTTTTTGGAAACACATTAGAGCTACAAGCTGTTTTCAAGACAATCACACCTTTCAAGCTTGTTCTGGTGACAAATGTCAGGTCTCAGAAACGAAGGCAAGGAGATGTCGCCGTGGCTAACAGCCACTGATGGCCCTGACAGAGTAAGGGAACCGGCTACGACGCAATGCTCCCACTAAGCTGTGAAGTCTTGTGAGCAAAAATTCTCCTTTGTGAGCTACCGGCATTAAAGTTGTGAGCAAGCAGTCTGGCTGTTGCATAAATTAGCTTGCTCTGGAGCCCATCCTTCCTGAGCCAAGACAAACGTGTGTGAGCCGGAGGCTAAGAAACTGTGAGCCAGCTCACACTAACTCAGCTTAGAGGGAACACTGCTCTGGAGCCCATCCTTCCTGAGCCAAGACAAGCGTGTGTGAGCCGGAGGCTAAGAAACTGTGAGCCAGCTCACACTAACTCAGCTTAGAGGGAACACTGCTCTGGAGCCCTCCTTCCTGAGCCAAGACAAGCGTGTGTGAGCCGGAGGCTAAAAAACTGTGAGCTAGCTCACACTAACTCAGCTTAGAGGGAACACTGGCCACGAGTCCCATCCGAGCCGTTCGCTGACTCACCTTATCGTTCTCTGCCTGGTTACCAGGAATGGCTTCCGACTGCTGCAGCAGCAGAGGCAGGTGGGCTCTCGTCACCGGTTCGTGGCTTACGCTGCTGACTGTGAAGTGCCGCAGAAACCTTTAGGGGGGGGGAAATAAGACCTAGCACCGCTGCAAGAGTCCCACTTGCCCTTCAACTCTTGTGCAAGAGGAAGCACAGGACAACGGCGGTGGTAGTCTTTTAGGAAGGATGTTGACAAGCTCGAGCGTGTCCAGAAGAGGGCAGCCAGGATGGTGAGAGGGTTGGAGTCCAAGTCTTAGGAGGAAAGGCTGAGAGAGTTGGGTCTGTTTAGCCTGCCTGGGAAAGAGAAGGCTTAGAGGGGACATGATTGCAGTCTTCCAATATCTGAAGGGCTGTCATGTAGAAGATGGAGCAGATCTATTCTCTCTTGCTCCGGATTGCGAGACTAGATCTAATGGGTGGAAATTACAAGGGAGTCGCCACCAGCTAAATATCAGGAGAAACTTCCCAACTGTGAGAGTGGAGGTGGTGGATGCTCCTTCGCTGGACATTTTCAAGCGGAGGCTGGATGACCATCTTTCGGGTATGTTGTAGGTATGTAGAGTTATCTTTCAGCTATGCTCCTGCAGAGTGCAGGGGGTTGGACTAGATGACCTGCAAGGTCCCTTCCAACTCTAACATTCTATGATTCTGCTTCACGTCAAACGCATTGTGCACCCATTTGTGCAAGAAATTTCTGGGCCCCATGATATACAGGGAAGAAAGCGCTGGCGGTTGCATGAGATCTTAGAATCATAGAATCTCTAAGGAAGAGGAGGTGGAGATTGGATTGATACCCCTCCCTTCACTACCAGAAGGAGTCTCAGAGTGGCTTACAAACTCCTTTCCCTCCCCCTCCCCACAACAGACACCCTGTGAGGTAGGTGGGGCTGAGAGAGCTCTTTCCAGAACTGTCCTTGAGAGAACAGCTCTGAGAAAACTTGTGACTGAGGTCATGCAGCCAGGTGCGAGTGGAGGAGTGGGGAATCAAACCCGGTTCTCCCAGATTAGAGTCCACACACTTAAACCACTACACCAAACTGGCTCTCAAGGTGCTACTGGACTCAAAACTAGCTGTTCTGAAACTAAGTTCATGCTTCCACTTTGTGCATCGTTGGATCAAAGCCCTTGAGTTCACCCTGTCCATCGGCCCCCTCCCCCCTGGCCTTGGGGATCTCCTGCCACACGCTGAAAAGAAAGGGCAGGAAAAGCAGGCAGAACTCTCCATGTCATGGCCTCCAGAAGCAGTGATTGGACAAATGACATGCACGGGAAACAGATAGATAGATAGATAGATAGATAGATAGATAGATAGATAGATAGATAGATAGATAGTCCCTGCTACAAAAAGAGCCCCACCCCCCATGCAAGGGGACTAGGTTGGGTGCAGCTCCACACCGATGACCATCCCGTCCACCACCCTAGAGAAAGGAAAGGGTGTGGGGGGTCTAGATTGCAGATTTGGGCAGGAGTCGGAAAACAAGCAAGACTCTTCAACGGAATCGCGCTAAAATGGGCGCGTTTCCCAGTAATCAGCTGGGGTTCTGTGGGATAACGCAGCCACCGCCTTCCCAAAGCTTTACCTGTCCAGATCCGGGAGGCTCGTAGATACTCTTAGGTGGCTCCATCTTTCCCCAGCCGGACAGGATGAAAGACTGAAGAGTTTCTGCATGTGAGAATGTCTGAAGAAGAAGAAGAGATTGGATTTATACCCCATGGCCCTTCACTTGGAGTCTCAGAGCGGCTGACAAACTCCGTTCCCCTCCCCTCCCCACAACAGACACCCTGTGAGGTGGGTGGGGCTGATAGAGCTCTTGATAGAAACTGCTCTTTTTCAAGAACAGCTCTTATCAGAACTATGGCTCGCCCAAGGTCATCCAGCCAGGTGCAAGTGGAGGAGTGGGGAATCAAACCCGGTTCTCCCAGATTAGAGTCCGCGCACTTCACCACGACACCAAACTGGCTCTGAAAGGACGACACACATGGAAATGAAGTCTTCGGATTGAGGACCCCAGATCTAGACAGACATCTCCCCCCCCCCCCCAATTCAAAACTTGGTCACAGCCTCTGTTCCCCTTAAGCTGGGTTTGAGCCAGCTCAGTTTTTTTAGCCTCTGTCAGCTGGAGATCGGTTGCAGCTCTCCTGGAGAAAATGGCTGCTTTGGAAGGAGGACTCTAGGGCACTAGGCCCCCACTGAAGTCCCTCCCCAAACTCCACCCCCAAAATCCCGGAGCTGGCCACCCTAGCCATCGGTCACCAGACACCAGGTTGGAGGACCCATATGACGAACAGCCGTGGCTACGTCGACAAGAAACTGAATGAAAATGTATGGTGGGGAGGGGGAGAAATGGGGAAATTAAAACTCCCTAAAACCTACACTGTACTGATACGCGACAGTTACCATGGACTGACTTAATTATCAATTGCTTTTAATTACTGCATAATGCTGGATATGGCTTTTATATGTTTTTACGGTTCTAGAATGCTGTACATCGCCTAGGGCCCCACGGCCGTGGGGATCGGGCGATCAATAAATATAATGAAATAAATAAATAAATAATAATTAAAAAATTGAGCACAAGATTTATTTATTTATTATTTATTTATTTTATTTCATTTATATCCCGCCCTCTCCGCAGGCGGGCTCAGGGCGGCTTACAACACGAGGTGTAATACAGCACCACAGTTAAAACAATTAAGGCACACAGGCCCTGCGGAACTGCAACAGGTCCCGCAGGGCCCTGATCTCCTCCGGGAGCTCATTCCACCAGATAGGAGAGGCCACCGAAAAGGATCTGGCCCTTGTGGCAACAAGCCTGGCCTCTTTAGGGCCCGGGGTCACTAGGCGGTGTTGTGACCAATGTTCCCTCTAAGCTGTGGAGTCTTGTGTGCAAAAACTCAACGTTGTGAGCTACTGGCATTAAAGTTGTGAGCAAGCGATTTGGCTACTGCATAAATTACTTTGCTCCGGAGCCATCCTTCCTGAGCTAAGACAAAAATGTGTGAGCTGGAGGCTAAAAAACTGTGAGCTAGCTCACACTAACTCAGCTTAGAGGGAACACTGGTTGTGACCCCGACCGAAGTGCTCTTTGGGGCCTGTATGGGGAAAGGCGGTCCCTCAGGTATGCCGGACCCTGGCCATGTAGGGCTTTAAAGGTAAGCACCAGCACTTTGAAGCGAATCCGGAATGCTATAGGCAGTCAGTGCGGCGCTTTGTGTCAAATCTCTCTGTAGCAGTGGAAAACAGAAAGTCCAGCAGCACCTCAAAGACTATAACCAAACTGGTGGCAGAGCTTTTGTGAGCCAGTGAAGTCACTTCTGAAGACGTGAGCCGTGACTCACGAAAGCTCCTCCCCTGCCACGTATTTTGTTAGTCTTTAAGGTGCCACTGGACTCTCGCTCTTTTCTATTACTTAAGCACAGAATGATAAAAAAGGAAAATCCGCCCCCCGCCCCCCCGCACTGTATGCCCAAACGATCTTGCATTTCGCTGGGGGGAGGGCCGGTTCAACTTACAATTGCTCTACTTCGGCAGGCAGGCAGTCGTCTTGCGTCATCTTCAGAGATGTTCCTGAGTTCCCCCGCTGTTGCCAGACGGAGAATACCTACAACAGAGAATTAAATTCAAATTACGCAATTTAGTATTTGCACTTAATAACTTTTAATGGGATTCTGAGGTGGCATTTGATCAGGAGAGGTGAATCACCATGACTGTCACCGGGGCAGGATTCTCGGGGTGCCGGTTATTACAGTTTTTAATTAAAAACTCTCTCCAAGAAGGGCCTTTAAGAATACTGACAATCTCCTTCCCGAACAGGGCCAGATGCCGGCTCTAATAATAAATCCCAATACTAGAGGCGGATAGGAGAGAGACACACAAAAAGCACTTTGAAAGCATGGGTTTATTTAATAATGACAAAAAATGACCCACTTTTCAATTCGGTATTCATGCAATTAAGCTCCCTCTACTCATAATCAACAGCACTTGTATAATTCCTCTGCAGAACAGCAAATCCCGGCAGGGTTTCTACTTGTGGAAATTAGTTATTTTCTCGAGTAGTGGCTCCATGTTGATTTTCCTGTGCCACCAATCACCATTTGAACACATAAAGCCAATTTACACTGAATGGAACCATCGAGGTCAGTATTGTCTATACAGACCGGCAGCAGCTCCCCCGAGTCCCAGGCAGGGAGGTCTTTGCCATCACCTCCTGCCCGGTCCTTTTAACAGGAGATGCCGGGGACTGAATCTGGGACCTTCTGCATGCCAAGCAGATGCTCTACCCCTGAGCCACGGCCCCTCTTTACAGCTCTCCAGGGTCTTAGGAGGAGGTCTTTCCCATCACCTCCTGCCTGGTCCTTTTAACTGGAGATGCCGGGGACTGAACCTGGGACCTTCTGCATGCCAAGCAGATGCTCTTCCACTGAGCCACAGCCCCTCTTACAGCTCTCCAGGGTCTCGGGCAGAGAGATCTTTCCCATCACCTACTGCCTGGTCCTTTTAACTGGAGATGCCGGGGACTGAACCTGGGACCTTCTGCATGCCAAGCGGATGTTCTTCCACTGAGCCACAGCCCCTCTTTACAGCTCTCCAGGGTCTCAGGTGGAGGTCTTTCCCATCACCTACTGTCAGGTCCTTTTTAACTGGAGATGCCGGGGACTGAACCTGGGACCTTCTGCATGCCAAGCAGATGCTCTGCCACTGAGCCACAGCCCCCTCTTTACATCTCTCCAGGGTCTCAGGCGGAGGTCTTTCCCATCACCTACTGTCAGGTCCTTTTTAACTGGAGATGCCGGGGATTGAACTTGGGACCTTGTACATGCCGAGCAGCAGTGTTCCCTCTAAGCTGAGTTAGTGTCAGCTAGCTCACAATTTTTTAGCCTCCAGCTCACACACTTTTGCCTTGGCTCAGGAAGGAGGGCTCCAGAGCTAACTGATTTATGCAGTAGCCAAATCACTGGCTCACAACTTTAAAGCCAGTAACTCACAGAGCAGAATTTTTGCTCACAAGACCCCACAGCTTAGAGGGAACATTGCCGAGCAGAGGTTCTACCACTGAGCTCCATGCCAAATAAAGAGACATCTAAAGACATGGAGCTGCCTTACACTGAATTAGACCCTTGGTCCATCAAGGTCAGTATTGTCTACTCTGACAGGCAGTGGCTCTCCGGGTCTCAGGCAGAGAAAGGTCTTTCCCATCACCTGCTTCCTGGTCCTTTACACCAAAGACACTGGGGGCTGAACCTGGGACCTTCTGCATGCCGAGCAGAGGCTCTTTCTCTGAGCCACGGCCCCTCCTTTCCACCATATACGGCTGCATTTGTCAACAGCGGTAACCTTCCAACACAGGAGTCTCAGCTGAAGGTCTGGGAGGCAACCAATTTCCCATTCCTGGCCATCGAGTCGCACCAGGAAATGTACCATGCATGGGATAGAACAGGTAGAGAAAGAAGTACGTTTCTCCCTCTCTCACAATACAAGAACTCGTGGACACTTTCCCTGTGAAGAAAGGTTAAAGCGCTTGGGGCTCTTTAGCTTGGAGAGACGACGGTTGAGGGGTGACATGATCGAGGTTTATAAGATTATGCGTGGGATAGAGCGGGTAGAGGAAGGCAAACAAACCCACCTCATTCCGAGAAAGACCGCTTGTTTACATTACCTGGGAGTAGAACGCTTTGTAAAGTTTCGATTTGGGGAACAGGGCGAACAGCAGGGAGTTGCTTGGAGTCTGCAGCTGGATCGGGAGGTGTGGGAGGAGGGAGCCCGTGTAGCCGATGAGGAGGGCTGCGACCACGCTGGTGGAGTCCTGGGGGGGGGGGCAGGAAAGGACAGAGCCTTTAATTTCAACTGTGGCAGCTGCGGGAAAGCAGGCAGCCTGGTTACAACGGCCTCCTGCCCCAAATTCCCTTGGCAATTCAAGGTCTCTATAGAAACCTATTGGCAGTCTTCATGAGCGCCTCTTTTACAAACACCTCCGACCACTTCCGAAAGACCTGCTGACCCAGAATGATAAAAGGGTGGGAACACTTTCCCTATGAAGAAAGGTCTGATAGGAACATCAGGAGAGCCCTGCTGGGTCAGACCAGTGAGGGTCCATCTAGTCCAGCATCCTGTCTCACACAGGGGCCAGCCAGTTCCTCTGGAGGGCCAGCAAACAGGGCAGAGAGGCCGAGGCCTTCCCCTGATAAGGACATCAGAAGAGCCCTGCTGGATCAGACCAGTGAGAGTCCATCTAGTCCAGCTTCCTGCTTCACAAAGTGGTCAGCCAGTTCCTCTGGAAGGCCAACCACAGGGCAGAGAGGCCGAGGCCTTCCCCTGAGAAGAAGCTCAGAAGAGCCCTGCTGGGTCAGACCAGTGAGGGTCCCTCTAGTCCAGCATCCTGTCTCACACAGGGGCCAACCAGTTCCTCTGGAGGGGCAGCAAACAGGGCAGGGAGGCCGAGGCCTTCCCCTGATAGGAACCTCAGAAGAGCCCTGCTGGGTCAGACCAGTGAGGGTCCATCTAGTCCAGCCTCCTGTCTCACACAGGGGCCAGCCAGTTCCTCTGTAGGGCCAACAACAGGGCATGGAGGCCGAGGCCTTCCCCTGATAAGAACCTCAGAAGAGCCCTGCTGGATCAGACCAGTGAGGGTCCGTCTAGTCCAGTATCCCGTCTCACACAGGGGCCAACCAGTTCCTCTGGAGGGCCAGCAACAGGGCAGAGAGGCCAAGGCCTTCCCCTGATAGGAACCTCAGAAGAGCCCTGCTGGATCAGACCAGTGAGGGTCCATCTAGTCCAGCCTCCCGTCTCACACAGCAGCCAACCAGTTCCTCTATATGGCCAACAAGAGGTCAGAGAGACTGAGGCCTTTTCCTGAGGTTGCCTCCTGGCTCTGGGATTCAGAGGTTTAGTGCCTCTGAATGTGGAGGTTCCCCTCAGTCACCGTGGCTATTAGCCATCGATAGACTTATCCTCCATGAATCTGTCTAAACCCTTTTAAAGCCGTCTATGCCCGTGGCCATCACTACATCCTCTCGCAATGAACTGAGACCTTAGACTCATGACAAGAAAGGCAAGCAAAGAATCCTGCCAATTCCACAATACCCCATTTTTCTTGGATGGAGATCAACGGAAACAGTTATGGAGGTGGGAGAGAGAAGCCGTTTACGGAGCAAGGCAGTCTGGTGTACTTATTCAGTTAGGAGACTACAAGTTCTTATCTCTTCCTATATTATTACTAGGGTACACATGTCCCCCCAACCGCACAACAATCTCCACCACCCTTTCCTCTGCTCACGCTAATTTTAGCTCTCCTTGCATCTTGGCAAGCCGGCAAAACAAATAAAAACCCTCTTTCAAGGTTTTTTTTGAGTCATGCCGGAATCCTGGGCAGCAGTTCAGAAGTCGTTGCTGGGGCCCCATAAATAGCCAGAGGTTTATGGAAGTCGGGTATCTTCAGCCAAACAATAGAAGGAAGGTCAAGGCCCACAGAGCTTGTCAAGCAAGGCGGGCGAAGGGGAGAGACGCTCAGATCGTTTTAAAGGTCGCTTTTAGAAGTTTAATTGAAATAAGTGCTTCCATTCTGCAGCGTTTTTAACCGTGCGCGTGCATAAAAGCAAGTCATGGCTCTGTCAAATGCATCTGCAGATTGTGAAGTAGGGATGATGAGAGAGAGAGAGAGAGAGAGAGAGAGAGAGAGAGAGAGAGAGAGAGATATTTCCCCCCCATGTGGGACAAATTAGTGCATCCAACTGCTTAAACGTTGAGACCTATGAAGGGATCACATAGTCCTCTGCTCTCACACATCTGGAGCATAAATTCCTTAAATGCAGTTAAGAACTCTGCTGACAATGACAGTCTTCATGGTTAATTCTAGCCAGGGGTCTTTTCGTAGAAAAAGAGCTGCAGGAGCTCATTAGCATATGAGCTAATAGGCTATTAGCATATGCCACGCCCCCTGACATCACCGGAAGTGATGTCAGAAGGGGAAGCAAAAGAGGGGGGAGGCATCTTCAAAAGCCTCCCCTTCCCTTCCTCAGCCAGCCGGCCTGCCAAGCCATGGTGGTGGGGGGTTAAAGTTTAAACCCCTTCTCTCTGGAGTCGTGCTACAGCGGTGGCACGATCTTCCCATTATATTCTATGGGGCCATAGAAACTCTAGAAAGAAGGAGCGTGGGGAGCTGGGGCCGGGGCTTGCTGCCACCACCATTTGTGCCTGCTCCTGGGCTGCCGGAGCAGCGCTCCAGCGCGCTCCAGCCCCAAACGACCTCTGGATGGGAGACCACCGAGGAAGTCCAGGAATCACTACACAGAGGCAGGCAGTGGCAAACCACCTCTGAACATCTGATGTGACCTGGATAGCCCAGGCTAGCCAGATCTTGTCAGATTTCAGAAGCTAAGCAGGGTCGGCTCTGGTTAGTATTTGGATGGGAGACTGGCTAGGAAGTCCGTGGTTGCTAAAGATGGCAAAGAGATGGAGGGAGGGAGGCTCTCCCACCACCACCCATCAAGCCCCCGCCACCCCACCCCCACGGAACCCTTTACTTACTGCTTCGGCAGGGATTCGGGGGACCCAGCGGTGGCACTCTCCGGGCGTCCCCCGGCCGCAGCGCTTTCGGCACCGGGGAGCTAGGGGCGGGGCTTGCCGCTGCCACCATTTGTGTGGGCTACTGGGCTGCCAGAGCAGTGCTCCAGCCCCAAAAGACCCCTGCTTCTAGTCAAGATCCCCAGTTGCCCAGGATTTTGATCCAAGGCTCTGGTTAATTGAGGAATGGGTCAAAGACCTGCTCCCAGCATCTTCTGCAATGAAGCAAGGTAGACCGTGGGGCAGGGGTCTCCAACACGGTGCCGAGGGGGCACCCCTGCCAATACTTTTCCTGGTGCCCACAGAGCGTTTTAATCAAGTGGGTGGGGCCAGGTGAGCTTCTGCCGAAGGAAGTAACAAGGCCTTCTTCGTAATGGTGCTGAGGGGGTATATCGAGGCACACCTCTCTTTTTGCAACTTCAGGAAGGAATCCCTTGGAGATGGCTCCAAGACAATAAGCTGCCAGGTTTTTGCTCCAGAGAACAACGTTTATTGCATTTTATCACAATACGATTCAGTACCTACTTAATCCACATTTTTGAGATAGACGGGGCAGCCGTGGCGAACACAGAGCTCTGGGGACACCCTGCTTCCCCCCCCCCTGAACTTTTGCCTGAGACAGAAAAAAAAGAGATGATCGCACACACTAAATAATTCACTTTCAATCCACTTCTAATGCACTTCCCAAGTGGACCTCGCCAGTTCACACCGTAAAACCCAGTTGGAAAGTGCACTAAAGTGGACTGAAAGTGGATTATTTAGTGCATGCGATCACAGCCGTCGTCCTGCTGTTGTTGAGCTCTTCTGACAAGCAAGATGAAGAGGAGGAGGAGGAGGAGAGATTGGATTTATACCCCGCCCTTCACTACCCAAAGGTGTCTCAGAGCGGCTTACAGACTCCTTTCCCTTCCCCTCCCCACATCAGACACCCTGTGAGGTAGAAGAAGAAGAAGAAGAGATTGGATTTATACCCCACCCTTCACTACCCAAAGGTGTCTCAGAGCGGCTTACAAACTCATTTCCCTCCCCCTCCCCACAACAGACACCCTTAGGGGTCATTTCCTGCAGGAGCGCACAGGAGCGGAGCTCCGGCAGTAAAGAGCCCAGGGAGCGGGCACATGCAACAAGCCCCGCCCCCTGCTCCCAGCAGCCCTCAGTCAGAGCAAGAAGCAGCCAAGTAAGTTGCAGAGCGCCCCCCCACCCCCGGGGCCCCGGCCCAAAACACTCCAGTGGCACCTTTAAGACCAAGTTTTATTCAGGTACAAGCTCTCCCTCCTCTGCCAGGACAGATCTGCACGTTCCCCTCCCCCCCAATAGCTAGCAATCCAAAACAGTCCAGTGGAGCCTGAGCGGAGGGTGTTGCCTTCTGACACACTTCTGGTGATGTCAGGGGGCGTGGCATATGCAAATGTTATGCTAATTAGTTATGCTGATGAGCTCCTGCACACCTCTTTTTCTACGAAATGACCCCTGGACACCCTGTGAGGTAGCTGGGGCTGAGAGAGCTCTGACAGAAATGGCTCTTTTTTCAAGAACAGCTCTTATCAGAACTACAGCTTGCCCAAGGTCATCCAGCTGCTGAGAGTGGAAGAGTGGGGAATCAAACCCAGTCCTCCCAGATTAGATCCCGCGCACTCAACCACTGCACCAAAGGTGGCCAGAGGAACACTTACTCCGTCGTAGAACCTGATGGAGGTCATGTGCGTCTTCGAAATGGCGATGCTTCCGTAGTGAGGGTGGCAGAACAGGAGGCCGTCAGAGAAGAAGTGGAGTTTGCCTGGAATGCAAAGGGAAAGGAAAAGAAGCCATCAGATGCTGGATGATGTATTTGACAGCACAGATGGACTGAATGTGCTCGGAAGCAACACAGCAAAAAAACCCCACAGCTGAACACGGTCGTGACACAAGGACCGCGCACAGGATCCGTCTCAGAAGACAAAGAAGAGATTGGATTTATACCCCACCCTTCACTACCCAAAGGGGTCTCAGAGTAGCTTACAAACTCCTTCCCCTCCCCACAACAGACACCCTGTGAAGTCGATGGGGCTGAGAGAGCTCTGACAGAAACTGCTCTTGAGAGAACAGCTGTGAGAGAACTTGTGACTGAAGGAGAAGAGATTGGATTTATACCCCACCCTTCACTACCCGAAGGAGTAGTCAAGCCAGGGCTTGACAGGTAAAGCTGCATCTGCTCGGCTTACAGAGTTCTACAAGATTTCACAGTACAACACAGTTCGGGCGTCTCAAAAGAGCATTCAGGAAACCCCCTGTCATGATCTGGGCTGTGCCACCAGAGGCCTACTAGGCCCAGGGAGCCTGGCTAGCAGTAGGTGAGGCTGGGCCTACAACTCCCAGAAGCCCCTGAGAGGTTTTGGAGCCAAAATGGACCAATAGGGAAGAAGAGGGCTGGGGAACAAGAGGGCTGGTGCCAGAGCAGAAGCTGTTCTTTCTTCCCAGAGGGCAGAGCCAGAAGGAAGGCTGCTGCAGGGGAGAGACCCTCATCCTGAGGGAAGGGTGAGTAGTCTGAGGCGACTGCAGATAGTGAGCTAGGGACAGTATATATTTAGACGCGTTAGGGCATTCGATTTCCTTTCTTTTCACCCACTTACTGTTATTATTCTGCACCTTGTCGTTTGACCGCCTATAAAATAAACTATTTTCATTGTTCACTCTGCCTGGTCCTCACGCCTGTTATTCGGCCAAAAGGGAGGTCTGAAGGTCTTGGGAGGGTGCTCTGGGCCTTCTCAAGGGAGCCTGGAACCAGAGTGGTGGCAGCGTCAGGTGACACCCCACCTGAGCCATGACACACACACCCCTCAAAACCCAGGTTCCCTACAGACACTGGGACCCCCAGGTGTCAAAATCGAGACACGGCAAAGGAAATGCAGCCAGTTGGGAAACAATTATTCTTTCAGGGCTGCCCGTCGATTCTGTTCTTGAAAAGAGCGAATATCCTGTGAAGAACTGTATTTCTCACAGCTACGGTGCCACCCCGCTTTTAGCTTTTTAAAGAAAGAAAAATCCCACACATATATGCAGTTCCAAGAAGGGTTCAGTAGACAAACGGAGTTCCTGAAAACTCCCGCAATTGCTCCAAGCGCAGAGTACCACTGAAGGACTTATCTCGAAGATGGCTTTTGGAACGAACAATCTGGGGGCAAAGCCATCCTTGCCTGTTTAGTTTGGGGTGGGGCGGAGAGAACGGCTGCTGGAACGAAAATGCCCCCTGCCGGGATAAGGCTTATAACTCTGCTCTCTGAAACTCCTCTAATATCCAAGGGATTTAAATGCAATACTTGAAATGAATGCTGGAGGATGGAAGCCATTTCAAATCAGGTCGGGTGACACACTGAAGGGGACGACATTCAACCCACGGAGCCGACACGGTGTGGCAGACAGGCACACATGGGAGACTCTGGTTACACCAGATCGGCTGCATGGCGACTCTAGAGGCACCGGGGACTGATTTGCCCACCCAGGGACATGTGACCATGCGTGGCAATGCATACGGTTGGATGGGCACCAGTCCCATCACGAGGCCTGGGGACAACCCACGAGACACCCAAGGGCCGTGCTGGTACTGCTGCCAAGGAACACGAACAAGCACGCACGAAGCTGCCTTCTATTGAATCAGGCTCTTGTTCCATCAACCTTGTTCTCCAGGGTCTCGGGCAGAGGTCTTTTGCATCACCTCCTACCTGGTCCTTCTCACTGGAGATGCCGGGGATTGATCCTGGGATCTTCTGCATGCCAGAGAGATGCTCTGGGATGCTCAGACCATAGCCCCTCCCAGTGACAAATCCTCCTGAAGATCTGAAGCTGCCTTCTACTGAGTTGGACCATCAGTCCATCAAGATCCATTGTCTACTCGGACTGGCAGCGGTTCTCCAGGGTCTCAGGCAGAGGTCTATCATATCACCTTCTACTAGATACCTTTTAGCTCGAGATGTCAGGGACTGAACCTGGGACCTTCTGCATGCCCCAGGGATGCCAGGCTCGCCGCGACCAGGGCCAGGGCCTTTTCAGTAGCGGCTCCTCACCGGCGGAATAAGCTCCCGGAGGAGATCAGGGCCCCACGGGACCTTGTACAGTTCCGCAGGGCCTGTAAGACGGAGCTCTTCCACCACGCCTTTGACTAGGAGCCGCCCACCACGACCACAATATCTGTGGTCAGTGGACTGGCCCTGTACGGAGATCAGACCAAAATGCCGTGGAAGACCGGAAGACCACTACGTCAGGATTTAGTATGTCATCTTTAGTACGCCACCTAGATTTACTGATGGATAATCATTGCGCGCATTTTAAATGTTATTGTATGATTGTTTTAGTTCCTTTAAATGTTTTATTTAACCGGCCATAGGTAAAGGTAAAGGTTCCCTTGCTCGAAAGCCAGTCGAATCCGACTCTAGGGTTGCGGTGCTCATCTCCGTTTCAAAGCCGAAGAGCCAGCACTGTCCGAAGATGTTTCCGTGGTCATGTGGCCGGCATGACTAAACACCAAGGTGCACGAATGCTGTTACCTTCCCACCGAAGTGGTACCTATTTATCTACTTGCAATTTCTTGCTTTCGAACTGCTAGGTTGGCAGGAGCTGGAACTAGAGACGGGAGCTCACTCCGTCATGCAGCACTCGGGTCTCGAACTGCCGAACTACCGACCTTCCACAGCCTGCAGTTCAGCGTCTTAACCACTTGAGCCACCGTAGCTCCTTAACCGGCCTTACTGTGCCGCTAATGTTAGCCGCCCCGAGCGCATCCGTGGGGAGGGCGGGATATAAATATAATAGATAAATAGTAAATAAATACATGCTAATAAGATGCTCTTCCACTGAGCCACGGGGGCCCCCCTGCTCCCAAGAAATGCCTGCTTTTTCCACCTGTGGAGGACATGTTTGAGGGCCCAGTACTAATGCCAGGCCATGGTTGAGAACATATCAGATAGTTTTAATCTAGCTTTGCTGTGGTCTCCATTGTTTGCTTGTTACGTTATGCTGCTGAGCTTACAAAAACGCTGCCAGTTATAACCCTGAACACGGTAAAAACTGCAGCTTGCCTTGCTTTTGCTGGACACTGGAGGGAAAAGTACATGCCCACAGGTAGGGGAAAGATTAGGGGGAAAGCACGTAGATTTATAGTTTTTAATTAGAGATTCTGCAACACGGCAGTTTCAGCATGTACCTTGGTTGGATCAGCTCCGAAATAAGCTGTTTTCATAAACTCACCGTGCGAGCATTGTATTTCAAATGTTTCAAAATCAGTTCCCTCTGTTCTTCCGGCTGGGATAGGGACTAATCGACTACTTTAGAAGTTGAATATGTTTAATTTAAAAAAGGCAATTTCACCAGCAGGACAACAAAGGTAAAGGGCATGAAAAGGCACTACGTAAGTAACAGCTGGGTGACAAAGGACCGCTTTCAGCGCAACCATGACCGGCACGATTCAGGCCAACTTTGTGCTTCAGCAACAGGCCATCAGGACAGATCCCCTGCCAGACAGAATGTCATGGGCATGGATGAGGATGCGCTGACAGAGCCTGCAGAAACCACAGCTGGCCCCTCTGAAGCAGCAGAGGAGGGTGGCTGGCATAAGAACATAAGAGAAGCCAATGTTGGATCGGGCCAATGGCCCATCTAGTCCAACACTCTGTCAGACAGTGGCCAAAAAGACCAGGTGGCCAAAAATACTGGCAAGTGCCTGCAACAGCAGTCTTCACACCTGGCCCAGAGAAGAAGGAAGAACTGCAAGCTGAAAGTCCTCCTGACTCACCCCCACATGTGACTCGTTTAAGGGAGCGACTGCGGCAAAACTTAGCAACCAGGCGAAGAGAGGCCAGGCTACAGGGGAGACGCTCAGCTAGCCCAGAGTTCTAACAGGAGCCTGGCCGATCGTGCAGCTGGCTAACTGGTGGCAGTATTTAACTCCACACTCTGGGCAGTACCCTTCGTGGAAGCAACAAGTCAGCTTCGTGCTGCTAGCATCCACTCCGGCTCGGCTCTCGCACCTAGACCTTCGGACCCCCTGGCTTTGGACTGGGCTCTGTGTTCCTGGCTCCTGACCCTGGCTTGGCTTTTGGGACTTTGCACTGCCTTCTTGGATCCTGACCTTGGCCTGTTCTGGACTCCCTTTGACTGGCACCCCAGCCCGTGACACAGCACTTGCAAAAAGCTGCTTTTGAGAAAAAAAAATCAACCAGGCAGAGGGTTCAAGAACTAAGACACAAGCCTAAGGATTCTCTGGGTACATTAACTGTGGTGGCGGAAAGTTCCACCAAGTCACAGTAGGGATTTCAAGGAAAGAGACATTCAGAGGTGGTTGGCCACTGTCTCTTCTGCATAGTGATCTAGTCTCCTTGGTGGTCTCCCATCCAAGTACCAACCAGGGCCGACCCTGCTTAGCTTCTGAAATCGGATGAGATCAAGCTAGCCTGGGCCACCCAGGTCAGGGCAGAGATAAGCAAAGGTGGTTTGCCCTTGCCTGCCTCTCCGTAGCAACCCTGAACTTCCTCAGCGGTCTCCCATGCAAGAACTAAACAGGGCCGATCCCGCTTAGCTTCCCAGATGTGATGTGATGTGACTGGGCTAGCCCGGGCCGCCCGAGTCACGACAATAATTAAGTACCATCAAGTCACAACAGACGTAAGGTAATCCTGATGGGTTTTCAAGGCAAGAGATTAACAGGGATGGTTTGCCATTGCCTGCCTCTGCATGGCAACCCTGGACTTCCTTGGTGGTCTCCCATCCGAATACTAACCAGGGCCGACCCTGCTTATCTTCTGAGATCTGATGAGATCGGGCTAGCCTGGGCCATCCAACTCAAGGCCAGAGATTAACAGGGGTGGTTTGCCATTGCCTTCCTCTGCGTAGCAACCCTGGACTTCCTTGGAGGTCTCCCATCCAAGTACTGACCATGGATGACCCTACTTAGCTTCTGAGATCCTATGAGATTTGGCTAGCCCGGGCCTTCCAGGTCAAGGCAAGAGATTAACGGGGGTGGTTTGTCATTGCCTTCCTCTGCATAGCAACCCTGGACTTCCTTGGTGGTCTCCCATCCGAGTACTGACCATGGATGACCCTGCTTAGCTTCTGAGATCTGATGAGATCGGGCTAGCCCGTGCCTTCCAGGTCAAGGTAAGAGATTAACGGGGGTGGTTTGTCATTGCCTTCCTCTGCATAGCAACCCTGGACTTCCTTGGTGGTCTCCCATCCAAGTACTGACCATGGATGACCCTACTTAGCTTCTGAGATCTGATGAGATTGGGCTAGCCCGGGCTATCCAGGTCAAGACCAGAGATTAACAGTGGTGGTTTGCCATTGCCTGCCTCTGAATAGCAACCCTAGACTTCCTTGGTGGTCTCCTATCCAAGTACTGACCATGGATGACCCTACTTAGCTTCTGAGATCCGATGAGATCGGGATACCCTGGGCCATCTAGGTCAAGGCCAGAGATTAACAGGGGTGGTTTGCCATTGCCTTCCTCTGCATAGCAACCCTCGACTTCCTTGGTGGTCTCCCATCCAAACACTAACCAGGGCCGACCCTGCTTAGCTTCTGAGATCTGATGAGATCGGGCTCACCTGGGCCATCCAGGTCGGGGCAAGAGAGGAACAGAGGGGACTTGCCATTGCCTGCCTCTGCGTAGCAACCCTGGACTTCCTTAGTGGTCTCCCATCCAAGTACTGACTGGGGTGACCCTGCTTAGCTTCTGAGATCTGATGAGATTGGGCTAGCCCATTAACCCGTATGGGGTTTCCATGGGGGGAGGGGGAGAGATGCTGGCCAGTATACTAGAGGCAAAACCCCCCAAATTACTTGGTATTTAACAGCATTCTAGAGTTCCAGACACCTTCTTTGTGCTACAAGAACAAGCAGAGAGAACCAAAGCGGAACAAGATCTCCTTTTTACGTAAGGGCTTAAGAAAGGGCACTGCACGGCCCCGGCATCCTAAGACCTTTGCAGCATCCGACGGGTGACTCACCTTCCTCCGGCCTGCAGAGTGAATTGCAGGAAGAAATGTAAGCCCCGTCGCCTCCCGTCAGGAAAGTACCCAGGAACGATTCTTCCTCCTGGAGAGGGGGCAGAAATTCACGAGACTGAAACGCGACAAGACAGTTCCTGAGCCGGGCGTGTTCCTGGACTAGCCGCTACGACGAGCTTACAACTAGCCCATGGACTGACAAGAAGATTACAGAAAATGGGGCCAAATTCATCTCACGGACACTAAAACACCGTTGACCAAGTCCTGAAACTCACCGGACTGACTGGGTTCAGAGGACTGACCTAATTGTGATCGCAGGCTGACTGATACTTCAGTGAACTTTTAAATAAGTGCTAGCTCCGTCCTTTTATTAAGTGAAGCTTTGATTCCAAATTGTGTTTATTTGTGTATACTGCATGTGGGGGGGGGAGAAAGAGAAAGAGAGAGAGAGAGAGAGAGAGAGAGAGAGAGAGAGAGAGAGAGAGAGAGAGAGAGAGAGAGAGAGAGAGAGAGAGAGAGAGAGAGAGAGAGAGAGAGAGAGAGAGAGAGAGAGAGAGAGAGAGAGAGAGAGAGAGAGAGAGAGAGAGAGAGAGAGAGAGAGAGAGAGAGAGAGAGAGAGAGAGAGAGAGAGAGAGAGAGAGAGAGAGAGAGAGAGAGAGAGAGAGAGAGAGAGAGAGAGAGAGAGAGAGAGAGAGAGAGAGAGAGAGAGAGAGAGAGAGAGAGAGAGAGAGAGAGAGAGAGAGAGAGAGAGAGAGAGAGAGAGAGAGAGAGAGAGAGAGAGAGAGAGAGAGAGAGAGAGAGAGAGAGAGAGAGAAAGAAAGAAAGAAAGAAAGATAGATAGATTTGGTGAGTTCTGCCGCATCTCTGGGGGACTCGTGATCCTTTTGGCTGAAGATGCTGGGGATTGAACCTGGGACCTTCTGCGTGCCAAGCAGATGCTCTTCCACTCAGCCACAGCCCCTCACAAGAAGCCGCCTTACACTGAATCAGAGCCTCGGCCCATCAAAGTCAGGATGGTTTACTCAGACTGGCAGCAGTTCTCTTGGGTCTCGGGGCTGAGGGCTTTCTTTCACATCACCTGCTACCCGATCCATTTTAACTGGAGATGCTGGGGATTGAACCTGGGACCTTCTGCATGCCAAGCAGAGGCTCTGCCCCTGAGCTGCAGCCCCTCTTCATGGGCCTCCAGGGTCTTGGGCTTTCTTTCAAATCACCTGCTCCCAATCCCTCTTAACTGGAGATGTCAGGAATTGAACCTGGGACCTTCTGCCTGCCAAGCAGATTCTTCGCCACTGAGCTACAGCCCCGCCTCTTCAACTACACTCTAGGAAGAAAGACTCCAGCACAGTGGAAGCCGCCTCCCTGTGGGCCTGCAGGAGCTGTTCTAAGAGGCCCCTCAACAATCAGGCTTCCTTTGTGCAACAGCAGGCGGCCCCTGGCCATTCAGAGCTGCATTTGCATTTCAAAAGCCGCTTGGGATGCAGCATTAGATAGGCAACTACTGAGAAGCCTTTGAACACAGACACACACACAGCCATGGCATGTCTCTGGTCAATCATGGCTATAATTTATTTGAATTGCTATTGCCACCGAGGGCTCCTGAGAACTTGCAAGCCATGTTTCTGCTTTTGGAATTATGTGAGTCGTGCTGCATTCCCTACGCAGCTCACAGTCTTACCTATGAGCTGCAACTCAGGTGGGGAGGGGAGAAGAGAATGATACTGTAACGCCTCTGTATAGATCTATGGCAGTGATGGCGAACCTTTTAGACACCGAGCGCCCAAACTGCGACCCAAAACCCACTTAATTATCGCAAAGTGCCACCACGGCAATTTAACCTGAATACGGAGGTTTTACTTTAGAAAAAACTCCTACATTCACTTAAGATGATCCAAACAAAGTAAGGAAAGCAATCCCAAATGCTTTCATTGACTTAAAATTATTTGGCAGAGAATTCGACACTTTAATGATGGTCTGGGCCTGGCTGGGGCGATGGCACGCGTGCCCACAGAGAGGGCTCTGAGTGCCACCTCTGGCCCCCGTGCCATAGGTTCGCCACCACTGATCTATGGGATGGCCTTGTTTGGAATACTGTGACCAGTTCCGGTCACCTGTCTCCAAAAGGCCATTGCAGAGCTAAAAAAAGCACAGAGGAGGATAACCAAGGCCGATTCCGTTCTAATTCTTCGACCCCCTTCCCCCCCCCCCGGGTCTAATTGGCCCGGTTCTATGCACGCGTTTCCGCATTACGGAAATCTGACCCGGGTTTTGCCTGGGTGTTCATTTCCACGTGTCGCCCGAATCTAGAGCCCCCTCCCCTCTCTTCTCCCTCCTTTTTTTTAAAATGGAGGCACGGTTGCGTTGTAACGCACCGCCCACTGAAACACTAATCGATCCCTTTAATTTTTGACCCTCGATGTCCGCGAAAAGCATCCATTGATGCAGCCGGGAAGTGGGGGGGGGGGCGGGGGATGGGAAGTCAGTATACGAACATGAAAAAGAATGCTTAAACCTTTACACACATGGCGAATGGCCAAGCAGAAATGAGAAAACAGCATACGGACATGTAAAAGGACATTTAAACGCCGGTCGACGATGGCCAGTTGCTGCGTCCAGTAAACGATGGGCTATTATCGCATTGCAATGCAACCCTAGAGGGGGAAAAGCACCCACGCACCAAGGAGGGGGGGGAGGGATGCAGCCAGGAAGTGGGGGAGGGGGCAGATGGGAAGTCAGTATACGAACATGAAAAAGAATGCTTAAACCTTTACACATATGGCGAATGGCCAAACAGAAATGAGAAAACAGCATACGGACATGTAAAAGGACATTCAAATGCCGGTCGACGATGGCCCGTTGTTGCATTGCAACGCAACGCGGGGAGGGGACGCCATTAGATTTGAGTCAATTGCTGACCCGGACCAACATGTGGGGAACTGATCAATTTCCACAACGGGGTGTGTGTGTGTGACACCGGAGCAAGTGATTGTGCGGAATCGGCCCAAGAGAATTAGGGGGTTGGGGCACCTTTACTGTGAGGAAAGGCTGAAGGGTCCCCGGGACTTTTCAGGTTAGGAGAGGGATGACCGAGGGGGACATGACAGAGGAGTGGAGAGAGCTGACAAAGGGAAATGCTTCTCCCTCTCCCCAAATAGTAGAACTCGAGGGCATCCGTTGGAAGCCGATGGGCAGTAGGTTCGGGACCAACAAAAGGAAATACTACTTTACAATAGAGACCGATTCAAATGCGGGATACTCTGTCTGAGGATGTAGTGATGGCCACAGGCATAGACAGCTTTAAAAGGGGATTAGACTGATTCATGGAGGAGAGGTCTATCAGTAGCTACTAGCCATGGTGACTGAGGGGAACCTCCCCATTCAGAGGCACTAAGCTTCTGAATCCCAGAGCCAGGAGGCAACATCAGGGGAAGGCCTCGGCCTCTCTACCCTGTTGTTGGCCCTCCACAGGAACCAGTTGGCCACTTGTGTGAGACAGGATGCTGGACTAGATGGATCACCAGCAATGTTCCCTCTAAGCTGTGGAGTCTTGCGAGCAAAACTTCTACTTTGTGAGCTGCTGGCATTAAAGTTGTGAGCGAACAATTTGCCTACTGCATAAATTAGTTGGCTCTGGAGCCGTCCTCCCTGAGCTAAGACAAAGATGTGTGAACCAGAGGCTAAAACACTATGAGCTAGCTTGCACTAACTCAGCTTAGAGGGAACACTGATCACCAGTTGAATTCAGAAGGGTTCTTCTGGTGTTCTTATCAGGGGAAGGCCTCGGCCTCTGTGCCCTGTTGTTGGCCCTCCAGAGGAACTGGTTGGCCACTGTGCGCGAAGGACTAGAAGGACTACTCGTCTGACCCAGCAAAGATTCTTCTTATGTTCTTAATATCCAGATAGAAGCAGACATTACTGCATCGTTTCATATCCTTTGGAGGTGCAGCAACATCTGTTCTTGGGCCGTATGAAACCTAGAAACGGGGAACGCGGCCAAGCCGAGTTTCATTAAAGACAGAAAGAGAGCTCTTGCGTACCTTAGCTACTTGTTGCGCCTTCTCTGACAGCTTCACTTCATTGTCTTCCACCTGTAATCAAAATTCACACATCAACGTGATCACAAGTGAAGTTGCCTTATACAGAGTCAGACCAACAGCCCATCAAAGTCGGTATTATCTGCTGTAACTGACAGTGTCTCTCCAGGGTCTCGGGCCAAGGTCTTTCCCATCACCTCCTGCCTGGTCCTTTTAACTGGAGATGCCGGGGACTAAACCCGGGACCTTCTGCCTGCCAAGCGGATGCTCTGCCACTGAGGCTGAGGTCTTTCCCATCATCTCCTGCCTGGTCCTTTTTAACTGGAGATGCTGGGGATTGAACCTGGGACCTTCTGCATGCCAAGCAGAGGCTCTCCCACTGAGCCACAGCCCCTCTTTGCAGCTCTCCAGGGTCTCAGGCTGAGGCCTTTCCCATCACCTCCTGCCTGGTCCTTTTTAACTGGAGATGCTGGGGATTGAACCTGGGACCTTCTGCATGCCAAGCAGAGGCTCTCCCACTGAGCCACAGCCCCTCTTTGCAGCTCTCCAGGGTCTCAGGCTGAGGCCTTTCCCATCACCTCCTGCCTGGTCCTTTTTAACTGGAGATGCTGGGGATTGAACCTGGGACCTTCTGCATGCCAAGCAGAGGCTCTCCCACTGAGCCACAGCCCCTCTTTGCAGCTCTCCAGGGTCTCAGGCTGAGGCCTTTCCCATCACCTCCTGCCTGGTCCTTTTTAACTGGAGATGCTGGGGATTGAACCTGGGACCTTCTGCATGCCAAGCAGAGGCTCTCCCACTGAGCCACAGCCCCTCTTTGCAGCTCTCCAGGGTCTCAGGCTGAGGCCTTTCCCATCACCTCCTGCCTGGTCCTTTTTAACTGGAGATGCTGGGGATTGAACCTGGGACCTTCTGCATGCCAAGCAGAGGCTCTCCCACTGAGCCACAGCCCCTCTTTGCAGCTCTCCAGGGTCTCAGGCTGAGGCCTTTCCCATCACCTCCTGCCTGGTCCTTTTAACTGGAGATGCCGGGGACTGAACCTGGGACCTTCCGCATGCCAGGCAGAGGCTCTACCGCTGAATTGATTAAATTAGCTTCGCTAATTAAATTAAGGCAGCTGGACGAACCAGCAAGGATCAGCGGGCAGGCAGGGCAGAATGGCCCGCCCCGGCAACGTGCAATGGAAGGGCGGGAGAGAAATTGTTTGTTGCCCCGCCGGGTGGCAGTCTCCATGCAGCCTTGCCGGCTCTTCCTGCTGCGGCCGAGCAGGAAAGGAGAGAGAGGGGGGCTTTGAGAAGCCAGCTTCGGAAATGGAAAGACCTGGGGATGCCACCCCCTCCCTCCCCTCCTGTTCGGCCGCAGCAGGAAGCAGCAGGAAGATCTAGTGAGGCCGTGGCGTCTGCCCACAGGGGTGCTGTGCACGGGGGGCGGGGGTGGGTCTGGCATCCCCGCAGGGTGGCAGCGTTGCAGATTCGGGGAGGGGGCTACACTCGCACACACGTGTTTTATATGTTGATGTATGTATATGTTTATATGTATATGTGTACGTGTGTGTGTGCGTGTACATACACACGGGGTCATTTCCTGCGGGAGCACACAGGAGCGGAGCTCCGGCAGCAAGGAGCCCAGGGGGCGGGCACATGCAACAAGCCCCACCCCCTGCTCTCAGCAGCCCTGGGCCACAAGGAGCAAGAAGCAGCCAAGTAAGTTGCAGAGCCCCCCCCCCAGGTAGCAATCCAAAACAGTCCAGCGGCACCTTTAAGGCCAAGGTTTATTTAGGTAAAAGCTCCCCCTCTGTGAGGATGGATCTGCACGTTTCCCCCCAACAGCTAACAATCCGAAACAGTCCAGTGGAGCCTGAGTGGCCTTCTGACACACTTCCGGTGATGTCAGGGGGTGTGGCATATGCAAATGAGTTATGCCAATGAGTTGTGCTAATGAGCTCCTGCACCTCTTTTTCCACAAAATGACCCCTGCATACACACAAACATATATAAAGGATTTTAAAATATGCACACAAACGTACAACTCTGGCCTTATTCCACTAGTGCACTTGTGCTTTGTAGAATTTTTTGACCCAAAGCAGGATATCCCCAGCCCAGCGGAATATCTCTCTTTCTTCTGCCTTGTTTTCTCTTCAAGAGGCCTCTACAGGGTTCCCCCCCCCCCGATTGTGACAGGATCCAAAGCAATGATCACAAGCAATGGTCCCTCTAAGCTGTGGAGTCATGTGAGCAAAAATTCTACTTGGTGAGCTGCTGGCCTTAAAGTGGTGAGCGAGCGAATGGGCTGCTGCATGAATTAGTGTGCTCTGGAGCCCCTCCTTCCGGAGCGAAAACCAAAATGTGTGAGCCGGAGGCTAAAAAACTGCAAGCTGGCTCACACTAACTCAGCTTAGAGGGAACCGTGATCACAAGAATGGTTCATTGGCGTTATGTGTTTTTGTTTTTAAAAAAATGTTTTTAAAAGGAAAAACGGGTTTTTTAAAGAGGGCCACAGGGAACGGTGCGGTACCTACCAGCCAAGAAACCGATCTGGGGATCACCGCGGTCGGGATGATGTAGCTGGATTCTGTGCTCGTACTGCCATCTGCAGGAAAAGAAAGGCAAATGCAGGATCCTGGAATTCTATCACAAAGGAATACCCCTAACAATGAACAGCTGTTCTTCCAGGGGGTCGTTTCCTGCAGGAGCGCACAGGAGCGGAGCTCCGGCAGTAAAGAGCCCAGGGGGCGGGCATATGCAACAAGCCCCACCCCCTGCTCCCAGCAGCCCTCAGTCACAGCAAGAAGCAGCCAGGTGGCTGCAGAGCCCCCCCCCCCCAGCCCCCAGGTCCACAACAGTCCACGGGCCCCTT